ACAGTTCCCACTGAGCTAAGGGTCCACCCTAAGTATACAGCCGTCCCCCAGGCCCCACACATTCTGTTCCCTGATTAACTCTCTAGCCTCTTCCCTCCCCCACTCCTCAGCTTCCTGGGCTCCTAGATTTCCCTCCAGTTTACCGGGCAGCTGTGCTCCTACCTCAGAGCCTTTGCACCTGCTATGCCCTCTGCCTGCAACCCATAGACCACGTGGCCCATTCCTTCACCCTCTTTTAGGACTCTGCTTAGACCTCACCTCCTCAGTAAGGATTTCTCTATCCACCTTGTTTAAACTTCTGCCATCCTTAACCCCTCCTCTCATCTCATTTTCTCTGATAGATTTTTTTCCACAGGACTTACTGTTATCTATATATTTTGCTTCTTTTGCTTGTTCATTTTCTGCCTCCCTAGACGGTGAGCTCATAGGATCAGAATTTGTGTCTGTTTTGCTCACTGTTATATGCCCAATGTTTAGGACGGTTCCCAACTTACAGTCATTGTTAAATAAATAGTCATCAAGTGGTTATCACCCTTTAGTGTTCATGTTTGTGCAATGCCATATATCTATATATACATATTTTTTTCTTTCTTTCTTTTTCCTTTCCGGTACCAGGGATCGAACTCATGACCACCTGCTTGCAAGGCAGGTGCTTATGCCGCTGAGCTAAATCTCCAGCCCCTATACATATTTTTGAGGGGATATGGGAATCGAACTCAGGACCTTGCACTTGCCAGGCAGGCACAGTGCTGCTGAGCTATATCCCCAGCCCATATACTATATTTTTGTGCAATGCATTGAACTAACTGCTTTGTGTGTTGGCTTCTCCCCATCGGCCTTTCCCCTGCTGAGAGATCCAGGTATAGAAGCTGGTTTTGTCCTAGCCTCCAGTCTGACCCTTTTCCCTCAAACGTCCCTTAGATGTCCAAGTCATTCTCTGTTCCACCTCACAAACTCCACACCAGTGTTTTTCCTGCTGCTCGCCACAGCTGGTTAGTGGACTGTGACATCCACTAGCGCTGTTCAATAGGCGACGAGAGCAGAGTCAGAGTTTGAGCTCACAGTGTAGACAAAGCTTAGCCTAAGGTACAGGGTAAGTTTGGTTCCATGAAATTTTTGTTTTCATATGCATTGGTTATGATAGAAATACATTTCTCACTGTGAGTTGGAAAAGCTTAGAAAACCACGCTCTACCCAATCCTGCCCGTGGACTTAGCACGTGGATGATAACAGCAGCAGATTTATCTGTCTGGTGAGCCCCAGGCCAAATGCTCACCCAGGCTTGAGAACTCCTTACCACCCCCTGAGCATGACCATGCCTCCTTTTGACAGATGGGGACACTGAGGCTTAACTGGAGAAAGTCCACACATATGGCTATGGGCTTGGGAAGGAGAGGAGTGGGGCTTGAGCCCCAGCCAGCTTCCCTCCTAACCTGGCGCATGTGTCACCTACCTGCTTGCCTGCTGGCCCAGCTTCTTCCAAACCCTTCCCCACCTATCAGGAATAGCATGTTGCAGCCCATGGTCAGTCCCCTGCCCACAGTGGACACTACCTCATCAGTCCTCCCAAGGCCCCAGACAACAGTATCCTTTCAAGCCCCACTTTGCAGGCTAAAGACCTGATGTCTTTCTTTCCAGAAAGTACAAGTTGAAAGTATTTGTAAGAGTCTGATATTCTGTCTCGCTTCTCCAAACTCCCCTTTTTGAGAGGCAGAAGGGAGAAATGGATAAAAATGTGTCTTTTCCCAGGTTCAAATCCATCCCTCAAAACTTCAGAGCTGTGTGACCCCAGGCAAGTTCTCTGGACTTCCAGTTTCTTTTTCTGCAAAACGAGGATAATCATCATCACCTTCCCATAAGACCATGCTGAGACTTAAACAAGTTAGAATACATGCAAAGTCCTTAGAGTAGTGGTCACACCCCTTGGTGGGAAAGCTTCCAACAGCCCTGTGCTATTATTTTCTCCCCATTTTGTCACAGAGGAAGGAAGTCCCTTGCTAGTTCACCCAGCTAGGGAGGGGGAAGGTCAGGATTTGGCGGTAGATCTGCCTTGGCTTTGAGCTACCAATCACAACAGCCCTTTAAGGGGCACTGGTATCCACAGCAGCATTTTCCAAATTCAGGAACCTGAGACTCAGAAAGGGTAAAGACACACCCAAGGCACATACGATGTAAATGGTATGGCGAGGAGTCAAGCCCAGGCCGTGCATGTCCAGGTGCAGGTGGACCTTGACACAGGACGGGGAAGGAAGGAGGAAAGAGCAGGTGGGCACTACCCTTGCTCCAGCCTAGCCTGAGTGGTGTCCCAGCTTGGCTCCTATCCAGACTAGCGTGACTGCTCCCCTGAAAGCGCGAGGATGGTGACACTGCGGTGGCACAGATGATAGGAGAAGGTGCAGCCCCTTCTGCCTGCCTCCGATTAGGGCCCTGCAATCCCCCAGGATTTGGCACTTGGAAAGCTGACGTTAGGTTGCTATGGTGATGGGTTTGGGGCGGTTGCCATGGCAGCAGAACTAGCCTGGGTTTAAAAATATCTAAGAGGAGGTTTGTGTTTGTGTGTGAGTGTGAGTGCGTGACCGACTATGCTGTTGTGTGCGTCCAAATGGGAGGGTTTGGGAGGGGTGGGTGGAGCTGGGGCTGTAGGCATAATGGGGGGGGGACACTGAGGAGCCCGAAGCACTCCATGTGTGTTGTGTGTGTCCATGAGTGGCCCTGGAGGTCCAGCCATTATAGGTTATGTTATGTGGACCCCATATCTGAATGTATGCAATACCCAACTACACGTGCAAGGCATGATCAAGGCAGTTTGTCAGTCTATACATCTCATGTCATTGATATGCACATCTTATGTAACATAAGCTGTGCATACCTTGTGGCTTTGATCACATATGTATAACTTCTCCAGTGTGTGGAGTTGTTGAGTCTGAATATGTGCACCCAGACACACATGGATAAGACACATGGATAAGCCTCCCTATGTCCATGCACCTGTGTGAAGCTGCTGAGACCGAGCACCTGTGTTGCCTGGAGCAGGCCCTGTGTGACTCCCTAGGTGAGGGGGCAGCTTCAGGCCCAACACTATGGAAGTTGGGATACATACCTGTGTGGTGTGAGTCTATGTGACTCGAAGAGCCTGAGGTGTGGATCTCAGCCTGACCTCAGTCTCTCCCTGTATCCCTCTTGCCTCTTGCCTGTCTCCATGGCAACCGGCTCCTCAGCTCCCTCCAGGAAGATGGAGGGGGAGGATTCAGGCTGCAGTGGACCACAACTTCCTCCCATCCCCCTTGGCTCCAGGGACAATGTTGGGGGGGGGAGGGGACAGATGGGCGGCCACCCTATCCACCCCAGACCATCTGCTCCCCGCTATCCCGGGGACCTGAGAGCATAGCAAAGGAGGGAGTAGAGCAGATCCCCAACACTGCCGACCTCCCCTACCCCGCCCCCGCTGCCATAATTTCCCCATTAGACCCTCCTATTCCTAATCTCGCCTCTAGCCAAGCCAGGAAGCAAAGACTCCTTGGAGATCAAGAAACTGAGGAGAAGAAAATTCATGTATCAGAGAATGCAAACTACTATCAATGATCCATTGTGGGGAAGAGTCTCCTACCTCCAACGACTTCAGGTTCTGAAATGAGGCCTGTTCTCTACGAATCTGACCGCCCTCTGTCTCACTGTGCGGCTAGACAAGCCACACTCCACGTTCCCGGGCTGCGGTTTTGTCGCGGGACAGCCCAAATCTCTTAACATTCCAGTTAAGTTAAAACTCCACAAGAGCCAAGACTGCGTTCCCTCGTTTCACCTGAGTATCTGGGACGGTGCCTGGCACTTAGTAGGTGACCAGAAGTACCGCTAAGGGAGTCGAGGGCCAGCTGTGAGCCTGTGCTACGAGCTGTAGGTAGTTCAGGGGTCACTGAATTCTATCCCCTGAACCCTCACAGCACATTCGTGCCCATTCTTTATGGGACAGATGTAAGCTCTGAAGGGAAATTTTCTTGCTGGTTTGGAGCTACCGAGAAATGAAAATTTCTTATTTTGATTAAGTGAGGTGAGGGCTCTGAGATTCAGTTTCCTCAACTGTAAAATGGGGATACAAGCATCTCAGAGATTCATTTCCCCTGAGATTAAATGCGATGACGTCTGTGAAATGTGTACATAAGAATCAGTGCTAGAACCGGACGTGGTGGCTCACACCTATAATCGCAGCACTCGGGAGCTGAGGTGGGAGGATCGTCGAGAGTTCAAGACCAGCCTGGACTACAAAGTGAGCTCAAGGCCAGCCTGAACTGCATAGCGAGACGCCGTCTCAAAAAAGACCAAAAAAAAAATCAGTGCTAGCACATAGTAAGTGCTCAGGAAACTGTCCTTTAAAGGTGAGGGAAGGGGTAGGTGTGGAGGAGCTCAGGGTCCTTATTCCATCTTGGGAGCAAGCTGGTCTCGCTCTACCGCCGCGAGGGGCGTGGCCAATGTAGGGGGACAAGGTCTAGACTTCAAGGGCGAACCAATGGAGGCGCCGAGGGGCGTGACCATGACCGGCATGGGCGTGGCCTCACGCCGGTGGGTGGGGCCAGTCTCTGTAGGATCCTCCGGGAAGAAGATGCTCGGGCCAGCAGACACCACCAGTCCAGTCGCCGCTGCCGCCCGCGCTCGCCGTCCCCCGGGCCCCCACTAGCGGCCGTCTGCGCCTCCCACCTCCGGCCCCCCGCCCCGAACAGGGCCTGGGGGGCTCGGCCCTCCGCCCGGGCGAGCAGAGAAGGGGAAAGGAGAGTCCTGTCCCCCTAAGTGGCGCGGCCAGTGCCCGGCCTCGGTGATCCGGAGAGAGACCCCACCCCTCAGTGCTGCCCGGGTCGCTCCGAGAGACCCCTCTGCCCTCCCGCTCTGCGCACATCCGCTCTCCGGGCTCTGTCAGCCCCCCCACCCCGCTCCCTCCCGCCGCCCCTCCCGCTCCCCTCCCCCACCCTCCCCTCCCCCGCCCCCGCCCCCCACCATGAGGATGATGGCCGCCGGCGCGGTGCACGGCCTCTTCACGGCCTCCGCGGCCCCGCAGCCGCCGCCCCCGCCGCCGCCGCAGCCCCAGCCTCCCCAGCAGCCGTCGCCGCCGCCGCAGCAGCCGCCGCCGCCGCCGCCCCAGCAGCAGCAGCAGCCGCAGCAACAGCAGCAGCAGCAGCAGCAGCAGCCGCCGCCCCAGGCGCCCCCCATGGAGCCCGAGGCCCCGGACTCCCGCAAGAGGCCCCTCGAGACGCCCCCCGAGGTGGTCTGCACCAAGCGCAGCAACACGGGAGGTGGGTGTGAGGGGGCTGCGGCGCGGCGGGGGCGGGCGGGGGCCTCGCAGCCATCCTCCATCCTCCATCCTCCCCCCCACGCGGCAGGTGCACGGGCAGGGGGTGGGCGGGGGCGGCGCCCTTCCCGAGTACCGGGACCGAGCCGGGGGCTGGCGCGGGCTGGGGCCGACCCCTCCTCGCCTCGCCGCGGCCCGGGCCGGAGCTTTGTCTGCGACGAGAGGGACTGGGGGAGGGGGTGGTTAGTGTCCTTGGGGGCTGCCCCAGAAGATGGGGGCGTGGGTCCCCTCGGGCGGGCGTCTAAGTGTCCTTGAGGGGGGTGTGGTGTGACCCTTTAGGGCAGGGGTGTCCCCCGGACTTGCAGTCCCTCCTGGAGGGGGAGGGGAAGGCGTAGAGGAGGCCTGTGGAGGACCAGAGCTTTGCAGCCTCCCTCCTAAGCGGTGTCCCCAGCAAGGGTTGTTCCCAAGGGAGGTCTGTGCGAGCCCTAGGTGGGTTTGTGCGTGGGGACAGGCCGGGTGGGTGTGTTGGGTGACACAGAGGAAAGGGTGGGTGTGTAAAGCTGGATGGGAGAGCGGGAAGCTAGGACAGGTGTGTGTGTGTCTGTGTGGGCCTTGGAAGGCCTGGATGTGTGGCCTTGGAGATTGTAGATGTGACAGGATCCAGGGTGTGTATGTGTGTAAGGAACAAGGCTACACGAGAGGCGCGGGATTCCATGTTTGAGACCCTCAAAGGGGTATGTGTGACTAGAGAAGGAGTGTATGCTTGTTGCCCAGAGGAGGCTGTGGCAGAGTGACACATGAGTGAGAGGGTGTGTGTGACATGCAAGGGGGTGTGTGGGGGTTGCCGAATGGGCTGGCCCTGGGTGTGAGCCATGAGAAGCTGCGTGGATCAAGGGAAAGGGCTTCCGTGTGTGTGTGTGTGTGTGTGTGTGTGTGTGTGTGTGTGTGTGTGTGAGAGAGAGAGAGAGAGAGAGAGAGAGAGAAAGAGAGAGAGGTAGATGGGGTGGGGTGGGACCAGGAGAAGCTAGTGAGGGAATATGACAAGAAAAGGGTGTGGGTGTGACTCCAGAGAGGCCATGGCTGGGTGTGACACATGGAGGTGTGCAACAGTGACATCAGAGGGGGGTGTGTGCAATAGGGAAAGTGGGTTTCTGACAAGAGAGAGGCTGGGGCTTATGGGGGAAATTTAGGAGGATGTGTAATAAGGAAAGGGAAGGATGGGTCCCCTGCTGACACCCAAATGTGTGTATATGTGTAGCAAGAGCAGGTGTCTGTGTATGCATGAAATGGCTGGGTGTGAGAGAGCGGAGATGTGGGGAGAGTCTGTGTGTGTAAAACAAGGGAAGGCATGTGTGTGAGTGTGTAAGGTGACTGAATGTTTGATACCGAGGAGGTGTGTGTGTGTAAGACAGGAAGCGCCCTCAATGTGTGTTACCAGAGGAGCAGAGCCAAGCTGGGGATGCGGGGTGTGTACCTCGCTCATGGGAGATACAGGGAAGAGGCAGGGCTTGTGAGGATCCCCAGAGCCCAGCTCTCCGGATCCCCAAAAGGAGGGAGACCCCAGAGCAGACAAGCCCCTCCCTGAGGTCACCTTGGCCAAAATCTCAGCTTCCTCTGGCCTTTCCTCCGGATGGGAGAGGATGGCCTCGGGCAGAGCCACCCTTCCCTCTCTGCCTGCCTCTGGGAAGTGGGGGCCTTCCGTCCACTTCCATGTCCGTTCCTCCTGTCCCAGGCATCCTCACCTCCAGCCAGGTGGGACAGGAATCAGGGACCCCCTGATAGTGTTATCCAGCAGAAATTGGAGGAAAGGGAAGTTGGGGGAGGGGTGGAGGGAGTTTCCTGTCCTTCTTCCTGCACCCTCACTCCCAGCACACACATGAATATGTCCCCGCCACTTCCTTCCCTTCTCCCTGCCCCACTGCCATTCCCCGTTCTGGATGGGGTCAGGACCCAGGAGATCCCTGAGCCTTACGTGGCTGTCCGACTCTCCTTCTCGAGGGAAGGAGTCCCACCTTCTTTAAAAGGGGCTAAAATTGTGCAAATCCAGTGCTCTGCGACACAGCCTAACAGTGCTGCTGCTGCTAATGCCTGTCACCTCCACCTACTTGGCACCTAGTATGAGGCAGGCTCCAGGCAAGCAGGAATTTCTCAATACAGTACTCCAGGGAGACGGTTTTAGCTGCTTTTTAAAGGTGAGGACAACTGAGGCTCAGTGAAGTGATACCATTTACGTCGTCATACTGCTCCTAAATGATGGTGGCTGGCATTTAGGTGACCCTGGGCTGCTGGTTCCAGGGCGTGCATGCCTAACCCTGAACTATCCTGCCTCCATCTGGTAGCAAAACTGGGGCAACCCTTTCGGGAGCATCTCTTCCTCCAAAGCTTTTCCTGCTTCCTTTCCGGAGTACCCAGGGGGAAACCAAGGCCACAGAAGGCAGAGGGACACTCTTCCTTTGATTAAAAGAGTCCAGGACTTTGATCTCAAAATTGGAGAATTCTTTCAAAAATGGACCTTGGCTGTGGGATGCTGGGTCAGCCTCTCTCCTTTTGTTAGCTTCCGGGACCCCTCTAACCAAATGGGAACATCACAATAACCACAAAAGTGGTGCTAACAGCTACGAGTATTATTATCTGATGCCTTACACGCACTGTCATACAATGCTCTATAATACAATACTGATAATAAATTAGAACAATGGCTGACCTTTATGGTGCTCAAATGTGCCAGGAAGTATTCTGGAAAGTACTTGACATGGGTCATTTCATCTTTACACTTTTATTGTTATCTGGCTTACAAGTGAAAAACTGAGGCACAAAGAAGTTAGCCAGCTGTAAGAGGCAGAGCCGTGGCTGGAGCGCGACTTGGGCTCCATGGCGTGTGCAGGTGCTACAGTGAACCCCATGTTCAGACAAGGAAAATGGGGTGCATAGGACTGATTGGTTTTCCTGAGCTGTCACAAGTAGTAGCAGACTGGACAGAGCTGGCTGTTGCCCTCAATACCAGCCTGTGCCCAATGCTCGCTCCTGGGGCCAGGGAGAGATGTGGAGGAGACTGTGGTCTTTCAGCTGGTTTCTAGGCTCTGCCATCGGGGGTGAAAATGAGGCACTTAGGCCTGCCGGGTGGACTTGATTGAATGGAAACCCCAGCCAGGGAGTCATTAGAGAAATCAAAGATCCCCCTCTGGTGGGACAATAATAAAGAATGTCCCCTGAGAGATCCTAACTCTTAAACTGCAATTCTAATGACCCTCACAATCCTGACCGTATTCCCACCTTTGTGGTCCCCAAAATGCAGAGAAAGCCAAGAAAAAAATCCATATGCGGCACACAAACATCTCCCACCCCAAACAGCTTATGGCAGCCAGGTCCTAATATAATGTCCCTCACTCTTTACCACAGAGACAGTGTCACCAGGGCAAGTGCCTGAGAATGAGACATTTCAAGGTTTCTGTCTCACCCTTGTCGTGTGCGTGGCATGGGACTGTCAAGCAAGTTATTTCACTACTCTAGGCCTCAGTCACCCCATCTGGGAGGTGGGCATTGTAAGATTTACCTTGCCAGGTGGTTGTGTGAGTTGAATAAGATTGTGTATATAAAGTGCATAGCCTGAGACCCGGGAGGTGGCGTGTGCTCCATAAAGAATAGCTATCATCCAAAAGTGGAATATTCTCCTTTCACCCTCCATTGGACGATCACCCCCAAGAAAACCCCATCCCAAGCCTTCCTCTCTGCCAGATGCAGGGTCAGACGCCCTCACGACTCTCAGCATCCCTTATCCTTAGACAAGCCCAGTTCAGGTGCGCTGTTCTTCAAGCCGGCAGGTTCATGGAAGGACATCACACCCCACCCTCCTCTGCAGTGCCACCTCTCCACACCACGCCCATGCCATCTCTTGTCTTCCACCAGTGACCTCCCCACCTGCTCCCGATGACAATACCAATGTCACTCCCCAGCCTCCCCTCACCTCTAGAGAACAGCCCCCAGCCCCCCACCATCAGCACCCCAACATCAATGCCCTACCGACGTGAAAACACCTCCAGAGATCCAAGCCACTGACAGGATAAACTTTGTGACAATAAAACGTGCCACTCTTACTGACAGCCAAATCTCTGGAGCAGGTGAACATTATTTATGGGTGAGAGAGGAGGGGGTGATTTTAAGAAGCCTTCAAAAGCACCCCCAAGAGCAGTGGGCCAGGGGCCGGGTGGCTGGAAGGGGAGTGACAGCTTCTCAAGGTGGAAACACTTGAAATTGCAGCTAGACAGTGACAGGTTCACTCGGGGAGCTGATGTTTCCGTCTTCAGGATGTTAGTAGCTGTCATTGGTTTGAGGAGCCGCCTGGACCCCAAGGGAAGAGCTAATTTTGAGCTGGGAGTTCTGGCATCTAGATTCTCTCTAGACAGAAGGAAGAATTTCTCACTGGCAGAGAAATTTCCACTGCGGTTGATCAAACAGGATGGGAGCGTGATGTCTGGGGGCTCTGGGTTCAACTGAGGTCATGGATCTGCCCTGGTTTGCAAAGGATGCTGGGAAATAAGAGGCTTGAGCTCTTCTTAGAACCGTTGGGATTCACTTAGTGATTTGGTGCGCCCCCAAACAAAGAGGATGTGCAGAAGAGTCTAGAAAGGACCAGAATGGAACTCTGTCAAAGTGGGGACTCTGGGACTTGAAGTGCTGAATCTACAGGTGAGGTCAGCTGTCACTCATCTGAGGAAGGGGCTCAGAAGGCTGGTGCAGGAGCCACCCAGCAGCCACAAAGTTACAGTGGCCCTGGGCAAGACTTTGCTCTTTTCTGAGCCACTATAAGTTTATGTTAATGTGTTTTAGGCAGAAGAGCTGCGGCCAGCTTTTGAGATCTTGATTATTACCAGTGGTCTTTTAGGGTTTGTTTTTGTTGTAGGTTGCTGTTTTTTGGTTGTTTTGTTGTTGTGTTCTGAGTTTTTCTGGTGGCAAGGGCGCGTTTCTTTTTGTTTTGTTTTATGATTTTGTTTTTAGAGAGATCTA